GCATGAGTCCATAGATGTAGGGATTTCAAATTTTCAATTTAAATCGCGTTTATTTATTTTGTGCTAGGAAAATGTGAAACTGTTTTATGTAACATTTTGGCTCTTAATTGTAAACACAATAAATTACATTTATTCAACTAAAATATTTGTGCCCGTACGCTTTCAAGTGTAATGATTTAAAAACAAATGTAATAATAATGTTTGATGTTTGTTCTTCTAACTGCTCATGTCATTTCATTTATATTTGCGTGTGATTGAGTGTATGAACGAACGAACGAACGAACGAACGAACGAATGAATGTATAAATGAACGTTTGTTTGTTTGCTGGTGAGAGTGGTGCACTGACTGCGGATTGAAAATAGCAGCCAATTAGAACTCCATTCATCATGAGCAGTTGACGCATGTTCAAAGGAATTAAAATTAACCCTATCAATCACATCTTTTCACATCAAATCACATTGTTGATGATGCTGAAGTAACACGACAAAAATGCAATGGCAAAATTTGAGCAGTGATATTATTATTCCTTCTAGCTATATTACGTTTTTTTATTTCAGCGCTCAACCGTCATTTTCAAGCACTTCAAAGGACTCGTGCCATCCAGAGAGCAGCCATGTCCATGATATTCGTATCGACACGTTCTTATTTCTTTGGCTTCATCGACAAAAAGTTAACAAATAGTTGTTCAGTTGGTCGGCAGATTCTACTCACCTTGTCAAAGTTATTCTATATATAAAAGTTATAAAACAGTTTAAAAAATTATTTAAAAAGTTGTTTTAATTTGAATTGCTCTGACGATCAAATTTGTAAATATCGACAGTAGATGTGGCGAGTCTTTCTAACATAAATTCATTTAAAATAAAAATGACTTTTTGATGAAAAAAAAATAACTCAAAATAAAATTTTTCACTTTGGTGGCCCTTATAACCGATCAGCTTTCATTTAGCCTTCATATTACATTTCAACATCTGGCTGGAGACTCCACAGTATCATATTTTCACAATTACAAGTGGTTGTTTCTTTTTTACAATCGACTCAATTCTTTCAACAACGCGAACTGACGCACCCTTCAAGCCGATGTCTTCTATTCATAAATGCTTTCAGGTTTACACCATTGCTTCTTCAGCGCGTTCGCTCAGCATCACACACAGCACCTACAAATACAACATAAATACACACTCAACAATCAGCATCACACAGCCCCTCCAACATACAACATACATACACACTCAACAATCAACATCAGACAGAACCTCATCCTCAACGAATCTCAAATGTTTTCAGCAATATTTTTATTTTCTCAAACGTACAATACAAATGTTCTTTCATTCATGGGGTTTGGAGTAGAAACATGCAGTTGGTATTTTCAGAGATTGAGTTTATCATCTGCAAGAGGTAGTTGAAACAAGACGGCGTCCTCGTCATAATGATTTTTTTAATTTAAATTTTCACAAACAACTTCTTCAAAGTTGAGAAGATGAAATATTTCATTTTTAGGAATTGAATGGGAATTTATTTACAACTCAGAACAACCTTTCCATCTAAATTTTAATCGATGCACATTAGAGGAAATGAACAAAAGCAACGATCATTACTTTGTATAATAATTTCTTATGTTAATTAAACTGTTTGTTCAAATCTTTTTAAATGTTCCCCGTTTTTGATATTGAACATGGAAACATGTTTGACTGCCTGTGTGTGACATTAAATTTTTAATATTACTAGATTACTAAACTCATGTTCCAGGAGTCAATTACATCACTTATGTACGGCACATACATCACACACACGCACACACACGCTCGTACACACACGCACACGCACAAACACACACACACAACACACAGGAGCTGATCATGGTGGTCTGGTTCATTATTGAGTTTTCCTTCCGAGTTTGGTCGGCTGGTTGCAGGTCGCGGTATCAGAACCTGTCTGGAAGGTTCCTCTTCATAAGAAGACCTCTCTGCGTGTTAGGTGCTGATCATTACATTACTCTGATGTTCAAAAATATTCTATTGTTTCAAAAGGAGTTTTCTGTCATTTTTATTTGCTGCAAAGATTTGTTTGTGTAACTGCAAGTGAAATCATTAATACCAGCAATGCGTGGTGGCGAGGGAAATTGCATCAAATTAATGATGATGTTTGGCTTAACCTGGGCTACATGTCCTCCGCTGGTCATAGACATGAAACAAACTGTGGCATCATTAAAATTTGTTAACATTGTTGCTTCCAACAGGGAAGGTTTGGGGGTTTGGAGGCCCAGGGTCATCAAAAAGGGGGTCTGTAATCACTTTCAGGGTAAAAATGAGAATTTTTCGTCAAGTCGTTTAAAAAATGAATGCAAAAAAATAAAAATTAATTCAACAAAATGTAATAAATTTTCAAAGTCAATAAGCCATATAGAGTTTAATAAGAATTAGACAATCGCGTTAACGAATAAAACAACGTGCCTGTGCAAACTCTGCTGGTAATAATGCGAATCAATAATTTGGATAGTTTTATTATTTTTATCTCTCTCTTGTGAGAGTGTTGAAGGCCCGAAGTTCGGAAGGCCCGCCTGCCTTCTCCTATCATATTTGCATTGTCCCCGTTACTATTACCAGTTATTACCAACTGAAAAAATATCCGACTCTGACTTTGGCCCCTCAAAACATCTGACCCTTAACTCACACTCTGAATCCGGCCCTCTAAAAAAATCCGACTGAATTATGTTATAAAACATGCTGGAAAAAATTTCATTTTTTGCATCGTAATCTGGTTATTACGACTGCTCACATCTTGATTATTTCAATTTATTTTTTATTATTAATTTAATATAATGACGACGTTATCAATGTGAGTAGTAATTTTAATATAATAGTGGAAGCTTTGAAAGATGTCATGCTTGAGAGGCGCCGACTGATGCGTTAGATCAGTTTAAATACTTTTGTAAAGTTTCTGAAAATTTTGACTTGAGTAATTAATCATTCCTGCATCATTTTACGTTCGTCTCCCCATCTGTCCTGTTCATTGCATCGTTTTAAAACTTTTAAATGTTGTTAGATTTTTAAATATTGTTCTGTTAAACTTTGTTTAATTTTAATTAAAGACAACTAAAAATAATTTAATTTCTGAAAAATTGTATTTTTTACTTTCTTTGTTTCCAAAACGACTCCAGCGATGATCATCTTAATAGCGACACCACGCAACAACCACCACGACAACCATAATAAAACTTACCACGTGACAGATATCATAGTGACGTCAGCCAGCATAATCATTCTGTGCCTTCGAACGAATGGGAAGATGTTCGCCACTTCGGCCCTGCGAGGGTTCCGATGTTTCCAGATACTCCGCATGCTGAGGATGGATCGGAGGGGTGGCTCCTGGAAGTTGTTGGGATCAGTCATCTGGGCACACAGACAGGTAGGTAGGTAACGGACAGGTGGGTAAAGTAGGTAGGTAGGTAGGTAGGTAGGTAGGTAGGTAGATTAGTATGCAGATGGGTAGGTAGGTAGGTAGGTAGGCAAGTAGGTAGGTAGGTAGGTAGGTTAGTAGGCAGGTGGGTAGGTAGGTATGTAGGTGAGCAAACAAGTGAGTGAACATGGTTTAAGCCGTGAAAAATGCAAGCAGGTTGGCAGGCGAACAGGCTTGTAAGTAGTGGGTAGGTGGGTGGGTGATGGACGGTTTCGTTGAATAACGCTTGTGTACGTTAATACTCATTGCAAACAATTGATTAATTACGTTGCAACTTAATATAACTAGAAAAGCAACTTTCGCTACTGGTTAATTGCACGTTGCTCATTAGCATTGTTTGCAAATTATCGGGCTTGAATGTTCTTCTAATATATGTTAAGTTATCCACAAATATAAATAACCAACTGGCCCACAGGAACTGTTCACAACGCTCTACATCGGCTTTCTTGGTCTCATCTCCTTCTCCTTCCTCATTTACTTGGCCGAAAAAGATCGAAACCCGAACAAGTTCGGCACCTACTTGGACGCCCTCTGGTGGGGTGTGGTTAGTTCATCTCTGTGCTTCGTTAGATAGCCTAGCGTATACTTCAATGTCTAATGTATTAATTGAATGTTTATTCAATTTGTTTCGACACAATAAATAAATATTTAATACTGCATGATATTTATTAGCCAACAATCGTTGCTTTATCAACACATGAAAGTCTCTAGACAATTCAACACCCACATCGGCACCTCATCATCATCAGGTCACATCAGCACATGACCACCAACACATCATCATCAGGTCACATCAGCACATGACCACCAACACATAATCATTAAAACTTCACAGCCTCGTCATAGAACAGCAGTCAAAACCATAATTGAAGCACGGTCCTTGCGACATATTTAGAACATTAAAGCATTATCATCAGCTGTCCAGTCATCAGCACATCATATTCTGTTTTATACCTAATACCATGATCATTTCATCATCACCCATTGATATCACCATTCACTATCCACCATCACCACCACCATCATCACCATCATCCCCATCATCACCACCATTACCACCACCATCATTAACATGGCAGCCCTGCAATTACTTCGTAATAAAATTTCAACATATCGGTTTCCTCATTAAAACTAAACGAAACAGGTCGGTTTCAGTGATGTAGCACTACCTCAATATATTTTTCCCAACATGACGTCATCATTGTTGTCATCACCATGCCTAGGTCACCTTGTGCACGGTGGGGTACGGTGACGCGGTTCCTGTCACGTGGTTGGGCAAGTTGATTGCTTCCTGTTGTGCCCTCCTGGGAATTTCCTTCTTTGCACTGCCAGCCGTAAGAAACTTGTTGTTTCATTTTATTCAATAAAACAAAAAAAAATTCAACTTTTATTTCGTCCTCAGTGGTTTGAAATGTTTTCATGAGAAACTTTCAAAAGTTTTGTTGAAAGTTCCCATTGTTTCGTGAACGCGCTGAGTTAGTTCTTTCTTCCTGTCTGTATATTTTTTCTTCCCTGTGTTTATTCCTGCTTTTCATTCATTTTTTTTAAGTTTTTGTTTTATTTCGTTTTGCAAATTTTTACGTGAAAAAGAAACACTTGAAGCTGAAGCCAATGTGTGTGGCAGTGGAAGTGAATTGCGAATGCAAACATGCTTCTTGTGTTCCTGCGCGTGTGTGCCTGTGTGTGTGTGTTCGTTTTGATGGGCCATTATTTTCCTACTATTTAATAACAATAATTGTAATTATAATTATAATAGTTAAAAACATCTTTCGTAGTTTTCCTCGCCATCGCAGCAATAGTCCGTCCAGTTTCAAAAATTTAGTTGAAAATTGAAAATAACATTCTTTAGTTAGTGATTTAACTCGAGTGTTTAATATTTTGTCAAAAATATCCTACATGCATATTTTGATGTCTGCCACAACAGTATACCAGCTGGCAACAGTTGGGTCTTAGAATGAAGCCATTTCATCAACAAAATATTGTAAACATTTCCAGATTAAATTGTTTGGTCGACTGACTTTATTTTGAAAACGCGAACGAAACTTCAAAAATTTGATAATTAATCAAAATGAGTCAACTACGGAAAAAAGGGACTCCTGAGAAGCATGCCGTGAATAACGCCAACTGACAACCTCAGCTTTAAAGAACGCGTTGTGTTCTGCGTGTCATCTAACTAAACCATTGAAACTTGATTGATGTATTAAAATTTCGAGTCACGCCACAAACTTGATCATCCTTATCACTGACAAATTGTCAAATTTTTTGAATGTATGTTGATTTAGAATGCAATAGAACATTTTGCTTGTTACCGGTGATTTTGTCCTGTTATTCTAGACAGTTTAATTCTAATAGCGTAATTATAAGTTTAATGTTTTATAAATAAGTGTGCTTTATCTTTATTCTGCAATACTAAGCGGTAGACGTTTTATTAGCGCCAGATGCATTGTGACAAAGTTATCTTTCAACTTATGACATTTCCTCAACCTCTTACAATAATCTCCAAAACAAGGAGTTGGAAAAACAATTTTAAGAGTAATACGATGGTTCAACTTAACCACATTTTGCATCATTTTGTTAAATAAGTTGGAAACAGCATCTGACTTGATAAAGTTAAACATCTAACACACGTGAATCTTGAGTTAAAAATATAAAATTTTTTTATTTCAACAAATTTTTCAGCATGCAGCTGAGCAGTTTATTTCACAAAGGGAAGGCCAATGCCCCCCCGGTCCCCCTAGATCCGCCACTGCATGAACTGATTTCAAATGTTTTCAGAGTATTTTTTAATTTATCATAAATTGATGGTATTCAATTATATAGTTGTGAAACAAGAGTTGAATTTTGATAGTCAAAGCCAGGAGTCGGAAACTGTTCAAGAAAGCAGTCGAAGTCAGACAAGTTTTTCTGACTCCGACACGCAGGTTGCAACTTTTTGTGAGACCACAATGCAAACAATGATGCAGCGCTGATCCGATTTTAAAAAATCTCTCCCCGTATTCTACTTCATTCAAAATATTTACAAATTTTAAAAACATGCACCAAACAAATATAACAACAACATAACAACAATATAACGCAGGGCATCATGGGGTCGGGGTTTGCCTTGAAAGTGCAGCAACAACAGCGGCAGAAGCATTTGACGAGGCGGAAGGGACCTGCCGCGGTGCTCATCCAGTCTCTATGGAGGTGCCATGCCGCTGAGAAGACGTCAAACTTCAGAGCCACCTGGATGATTCACGTCACCAAACTCTCTCCCAAGACCACAGGGACATCCAACTCGTGAGTGATCTGAATGGACGGTGTGGAAGGGATTGCCGTTATGTCGTGATTTGTGCTGGTGATGTGGTTGAAAACTTCGCCGTTGGCATGGTTATTTATCTCGAAGTTATCAAATAATTTCGTTATTTTTTTGTGGTTGTGCATTTTTATATTATAATTACGGACGCTGACATTGTTGTGCACGTAAATACAAAACAGAAATCTTCACAAACATTTTTAAAACATCGATGTTCACAAGAACCATCTTTGCACATGCATGTTTTGACTTGTAGATAAATTGTTTGGAAGACTTCGTGAGGGCCTGCTGTTCAGCAAACAAGTGGAAGAAGTGCATCCAAGCATAAAATGAACACGCGTAAATAAGTTGTTTCCAATGCGAATGCACACACACACCATAATTCATCATTGCGTGTGCTAGTGCATTGCTAACTGCGTCCACAGTGCATGTACGTACATTAAAGTTTGCGCATGTTCATGCTCTTTCATGTGTAAAAATTATGTCCGCACTTGAAGAGTCTGCACACGCTATGCTTTTAAGGTTGAACAAATTTTTTCTCAGTGCCTAGAATTAAACATAATTGATGCAAGTATATTAAAAAACATCGCGCACGTACGGAACGCACAACATCACTTCAAAGGCAAATTATTTTCAAGTTTTTGTTTTGAGTATTTTTGCAATGAAGAAAAAAAAATTATTTTTGTAATAAATAATAAAATTGTTTACGAAATGAGCTTCGTAAAAACATCTTAGGTTCCACACTCAACCGCAAGCATACTCACTCAAATTCCCATATAAAACCGCACGTCTGATCGAACATGTGCGCAAAGGTACGTACTCACACCTAAACGAAAACACGCAGACGTACGCGCAACAAACACATAAAAACTTCCATATCGACGTACACAATGAAACTTACAACACGCACACGAACCTGTGAGAAGGATGGAGATTGCATCGTGGCATATTGCGCACGTGCAGAGCTTTCAATCTTTCACGCAGCACACTCATTCATCATTCCTCAAATCAGCTTAAAAGTCTAATGAGGCGAAGTTTTCCACTGGAGGATGTAGGATGGAGGCTTTTGAAATGTTCGAAGGAGTGCTTCCTCCTGTTGAGATGTGGCTGGCTGACCATCAATGTGTGCTTATGTCTTGTTCTGTTGTGCTGCATAAATCATTCACTTTATTGCATTTACTATGCTTAGATCGAGAATTACTCAACAGTCCAATACTGTGCTGCTCTACAAAACTGGACTTCAACGAAAAAGGCTGTGTTTTTAAGAAAATTAAATTGTTCGTTCAAGCGCTTTCTTTATTTTTTCACAAATTATCTTTCAAATAAATTTTCATGCAAAGTTTCCACTAAATTTTGTTGTTTAAAAGTTTTTTCTCTTCAGAGGCACATGTGTTGGTGAATTTAATACAATGTAACCATTTGAGCAATAGATTTTTTAACGTGTGAAAAATTTAGTGATATCCACACATACAAACACACATATTTATACACACAGAAGCACACACACACACACACACATACACACGCAAACACACATACGTAAAAACATGCCACATACAAACACGCACTCGTATCATTGATTACTTCCTTACACACTTATTTATTTATTTATTGAATTATTATCTATTTATTTTATTTATTGATTTATTTATTTGAATAATTTATTTATTCAAACTCATTCCTAAACATTTCTTGGAGAATAATTTACGTAATATACAAAACATTGTTTAAGACAGCACACAACATCCTCCCAATGATCCAACTAACGAGACGAACACACACAAAACCAGTACGATGCACAAAAACAAAAACCATCAACAATACTAACTGGTCACAAACAGCATTATACAGGGAAAATATGATGCAAACATTTATGAAGTAAAATAAAACATCGCTAATAACAACAACAACAACAACGAACAATAATTGCAGCAAATAAAAATGACCACCGCCTTTAAAACAACAAATGCACGTGCGTGCGTTCTTTCAAATGTCAATCGCTTCGTGTATGTAGGAACATCTACATTACAGAGAGAGAAACAAGCAGACTGATGTTGAAAGAAGCTGCTCCTACAAAACTTGCGAGCACTTCACTCCCACTTTCCATTCATCTCATACACGCAGCAGCACATTAGCGCAAATAAACTCCGGTGCAGATGCACAAACATAAAAATACATAATGGAGCTCAAAAACATTAGCGCCATTAGTTATGAACATCAAGTGCCCCTCAGCATTTTCATACAGTGTGGACGAATTTTTTTATAAAACTTTCTTCAGACAAAAGTTTTAATTAAAAAAAAACATTTTTTTATTAGTCAAATTTTAATGGCAATTGCAAACATTTTTTAAAATTTTTTCAACATCTCTCGCTCAGCAGACAGCTTTTCCAAGAAACATCACAAACGTAATTCAATGGAAAGAAGCAAACATGGAACCCACCCACCACACTTATGAGCCATGCAACGATGAACACCACGTAGGACGCATTTCAGGGAGGTTCGCACTTTGCACGCTGCATTAAAACAAAAATTTCATTCATACAGCCTGGGAGGAAATAATTGCAAGCAAAAATATTAATAAAAATATGTGGTCGATGGTTATTAGCTAAGTTTTTAGGTAAATAAATAACTTCTAATTAATTGTTGAATTTTTTAAATTTTTTTGGAAGTAAATATTTATCGACAAACGAACGAAATACTATTAAGTGATATTTTAGATCTCTCAGCGGTTCAGGTTGTCTGTTAATTTTAAACTTTAAGACAAATTGAATTGAGTAAAAACATTTATCCAATTATCAATTAATAACCTCAGATCCAAAAATAACCTACCCAGTAGAAAACTCATCCGATATAAAAACAGCAACAATCAATTTTTGTGAACATCCATGCATCCACATCAGAGTACTCGAGGCGGTCAATTAATTTACTGGCGCCCTCTATACAAATTCAAATGAAGTAAACAGTGGCTGAACAAAGAGCACCTGTCAGGAATGGACAATTTTTTGCACTGACGTACACACAAACCAAAAAAAACTTACAAAAAATGCAAAACCAACAAAAACGCGGTGCGTGTGATTGCGCAAGGGAGTAAATAAACAAAAATTATGCAAATTTTGTGACTCAACATTATTTTTTTATAAATTTTTGTTATGGTAATGAGTACATTTTCAAATTTTTTCAGTTGTCGAGCAGTTATCAAAAAACAAAATTTAAAAACACAAAAAAAACACAAAAAATTAAAAGAAGTGAGAATTTAATAAATAATGAATGTGAAAAAAATTATTTTACTCATTATCTAAAATATGAAATAAACAAAGCAAAATAACCAGCCAACCAAAACCAACCAACCAAAACCAACTAGTCAATCTTCTATTTTATTTGTTGATGGGTTGTAGCTGTTATTGCATGGTACCTGGGAATGATCTTGCATTAGTCTCTCATTACCTTTTAAATGTTTTACTGCTGTGTTGTTGGTGCTCCGGTGCAAAATGTTTACAATATTCGCAATATTTGAAATTTTTCAAGACATTTTTTATTTCACTATAAAAAGAAACGCGGTACGTTGAAAAATGTTATTTAGGAAGATGTAATGAAGGCATCATCAGTGGTGACACCTGCAGAAACAGTGATTAAGTCAGGGAGTTGGCTAGTCATTTGGGTGTTGGCTTTCTTTTTATAGTGAAATAAAAAATGTCTTGAAAATATTCAATTACTGTAAGTGCATCAGTGAACATTATCCAACAACACAACAGTAAAACATTTAAAAGAGTATTGATAAAACCGATCATTTTTATTGTTTAGTAAAAACATATTTAATATAATGAGTGGAAAATAAGAAAACATCGAAAAGTTTCAGTACACATTCTAACCGTGTTTAAAAAATAAAAAGCAAATTTGTTGCTCTACTAGCGTTCCAAGCACGTTTAAACATTCATTGCACAGGACATCTGCCTCTCAGAGGTTCCGCATGAATTCAGGCTTCATAAGTCGCCTGTCCATTCGAAAAAAAGAGGGCTACCACCACAGCAACTACAACAACAGCGGCAACAACAGCAGCAGCAACAACAACAGCGTCATCAATTTAAACAATAGCAACAACGACAGCGAAAACAACACGTCAAATAAGCTTGATCTGACATCATCAACGGCATCGTCCAAATTGACAACTAGTCCCTTCAGGACAAGCAGAAAAGTTCAACCACGGTTGCAACAACAAAAACAGCAGCAACCGCAACAACAACATTCTCTCATTCGTAAAACATATTCGAGCACCGCCGATTCCTCTTCGGGCCGCCACCCGCCCATCAGTAGGTCCACCAAATTGAAAAGGTTTGTCCGCCCTTCCTACCTACGTTCTAACATCGCTTATCTGTAATAATTTTAAAAAGATTATTTATTGATAATTATCAGTCATTTCAATGTAATCACTTCATCATTGGATAATGCAGATGTTGTAATAAGTAACTTTTTCCTTTAGTGGTTGAATGTTATGTTATTGCTGTTGTTGTTTGCTGTTGTTGTTTATTTTTGTTGCTGTTGTTGTTTGTTGTTGTTGTTGCTGCTGCTGCTGTTGTTGTTTGTTGTTGTTGTTCTGCTGGTGATGTCACAAGTGTTAGTGATGTGTGCTTTTCATTGTTAAAAATGCTGTCTGTTATTGTTTAGTGGTTCGTTATAATTTCTGGAATTAATGTTGTTGACATTGTTAATGTTATTTTTAATGTCGTTGTTGATATTGTTGTTGTTAACGCTGTTGTTAATGCTATTGTTGAAGTGTTTGTTGTTTATGCTATTTTGCTGGTGTAGTTTTTTTTAATAGTTCAAGTGCTTATTGCCATTTAAATCAGTCATTGCTTGCCGGGAGATTGTCCATTATTCATCCTGGCATGGGTGCATGTTTAATATTCCAGAGTTTGTGGAAGGAGCTGTTTTTGTTGTTGTTGCTGCTGCTGTCGTCGTTGTTGTTGTTGGTAGTGGTGGTGTTGCTGTTGCTGATGTTGTTAATGACGTTGTTGCTCTTACTTTTACTGTTGTTTTACAGTCGAATAAACCAAATGGCATGTTTATGATGTTAATACATTTGCCTTCGTAATGTTAGCTTAGCGGAATAAAAATATGATGATGATTAGCTTAATTTAATGATGATGATGTTAAATGTGATGACATTATTATATGTAACGATGAGATGATGATGATGTTATTTGTAACGATGAGATGATGTAGCGATGATGTAGTGATGATGATGATGATGATAGTGGTGATGGTATTGGTGGTGATGATGATAATGATGATGATGATGCAGTGATGATGATGATGTTGTTGTTAAATCCGTTATGTTGTTTGTGCTGTCGATTTTGCTGTTGTTTGCTTTAGTGATAATCATTTCAATGGAAATATTGTCCGTGTGAGTAATGATGATTAAGGTGATGATAATGATGATGGTGGTGGTGGTGATGATGATGATGATGATGTAGTGATGATGATGATGATGTATGATGTATGATGATGTATTGATGACGACGATGATGATGGTGATGTAGTGATGACGATGATGATGGTGGTTATTATGATAGTGACGATGATGAAGAAATGGTATGAGAAAGAAAATTAAGGAGAAGATGGTGATGATGATTACGATGAAGCAATCCCACAAGAATTTTTTAATTTTGTGTATTCGTTTATTTTTTTAGGTTATTTAATTTCTTTTTGAACGGCGAAAATCTGATCAAGCCTCCACTCACTTGCATCTAATGACGCTTTCATTTAGTTTTAATGATGCCGTTGGCTGGCGATGACCGCTACGAGGTGATGGTCATGGCGAGAGTAATAATGACTCCGATTGTTCATTCAAAATTCATTCAACGACCGGTTTAACCATTAAAATAACATGAGTTAATTCTAGAAGTCTCATTGACTATCATTTTTTTCACACTTTGTTCTCTAGTTTTTCTGCAGAGGCACCAACACAGACCAGACACGCAACGACCAAATGCACGTGCAACTGAAAACACGTGCAACAACGCAACCACTCATCACACACGTTGCATGAGATGGACGACCGTCTTTGTATTTGAAACCACTCAACCTATCATTCATTCATTCATTCATTCATTCATTCATTCATTCATTCATTCATTCATTCATTTATCCATTCATTCATTCATTCATCCATCCATCCATTCATTCATTCATTCATTCATCCATTCATTCATTCATTCATTCATCCATCTCTCTATCCATCCATCCATCCACTCATTCATCCATCCATCCATCAGGCATTTTCAATTACATCTTCGCGCTATTACAACACTTTATTAAAAGAGTTAAAAATTATACGAATTCCATAAAAAGAGACCAGAGTAATCTGAAGCAGATTTAGCACACGAGCGCTTAGCAGCTATTATGAAATAGCAAAAATGAGAGGAAGATCTAAGAACAGAGCGTTTAGGTTTAGATGAAAGTTCAAAAAGATATTTAAGAAAAATTTGAAAATTTAATATGATAATTTTAAGGCAATGGCGCAAAATGCTGGATGGAAGTTTTATTAGATTGTACTAAGGAAGAGAAAAGTTAGGAGAAGAAGAAATGGAAGACCTGTCAAGAAATGGACGAATGACGTCACAAAATGTTTGCAGCCTGAGAAAGTTAATAACGGGAAGAAAACATTAATTAGTGATATTTCATGTGACGATCAGATAGGTTAATGATGGATGATGATGTTGTTGATGATGAATGATGATGACGAATGAATGAATGATGGAGAAGAAGATGATGACAACGATGATAACTATAATATCAATGAGCTCGTGAGGCTTCAACTTTCCTATAACTGTGTAGGTTCGAACTGTGGATAAATTAAAATAGATGATGTGTGTATATGCGATGTTTTCAAATGTTTGGGTAGCAGCGTGTGTGTACGTACAGGTATTTGTGTATTAGGTACAGGTGTATGAATGTGTATAATTGTTTGTGTACACTACACGTGTTTGTTTGATGTTGGGTATGTTTGTTCTCAAGGGCATCTCGTTCATCTTCTTCAATTGTTATCTATTTTTTTCTTTCTATGAATTTTTTATTGCTCGTCAATTTGTTTGTACATCGCTTTTTTATTGCATTTGTTCCTATTTTTTCATATGATGCAGGATCTGTGTGTGTTTCATATGATGCAATTGTTTGTTTGTTTGTTTGTTGTTTGGTAGTGTTGATGCATGCAAACGATCTATTTACATTTCTTACTCCGTCTTCTCGTGGTTATCAATGAAAATTCGCTCCAAACCAATTTTTTATTCTAGGTTGTTTTTTTTTGTTATTCAAATTGGCCTGGACTTTGGTCTTGTTTTTCATTATGCAGCTCTGATAGTCAGTGATGACGTAAATACTCAAAAAATGTACTTAAGTATAAGTACTAAGTACTAAGTAATAAAAGTACTTAAGTATAAATGCTAAGTACCAAAATGAATTGCATACTTGATACTTATAAATGCTAAGTATAAGTACTAAGTACATAAGTACCTAAGTACATACCATGGTTAATTTGAAATATTTATAAATTTATTAAACTCAGAAATCAACTCATTATTTACAGTAACTTATTTACATCAATAAAAGAGTTTGTTCTTTTTGAGTAAAAGTAAAGTTTCAAATGATTCATCACTTAAACGATTTCTTTTAGGAGTGAGAATCATTCCAGCCTGGCTAAATATACGTTCCAGTAAATATACGTATAAGGATTGTTATATATATAAATATATATATATATCTATATATATATATATATATAATAACTACTATATATAGCGTGCATGTGTATATAGATCATGTAGAGTCTATGATATAGATATATAGATGTCAGAGTGATGTGAGTTAACCACCTTTTAATGACTCAATTAGCCAATGGTTATCTTAACATCCCGCTATCCATGACTAAACAAGAACAAATGTTGATAAGAGAGATAAACAAGAATGTCAATGTGAAAATGTGTGTGTGTGTTTTCATCACAGTTTTCAATTTTTAAATGTTGACATTATCTTATTTTTGCTTAAAATTTTTCTGGTACTTACAGGAAAAATTTATTACTTATAAGTACAAGTACTGAAAAATGTACTTAAGTATAAGTATTTAAGTACAGGTTTCCATATGTACTTAAGTATAAGTATCTAAGTGCTACGTTTGTACTTAAGTACGTACTTAAGTACAAATGTACTTAAGTACTCGTCATCACTGCTGATAGTCTTTGAGCTGTGGAAACAGCATTCGATGGCGTTTGAACCAAGACACGGCGAATGACAACGCTTTATATTGCGCTTATACCGACTGAGCTAACTTGCCGACCATGTTTTTTGTTTTATTTTTGGTCTGTTGGAATATTGTTTGCTTACTTTTCTTTAGCGATTTTGAATAAATAATTTTTACATTATTTCATGTTTGTGACCAATTCCATTTATCGTGCCTGTTTCTTCATACTCCTTAATTATTTAAATGTTTATTGGGATTAATTTGTTGTTGCTGCTGTTGTGGTTGTTGTGGTGGTTGTAGTTGTTATTGTTGTTGTTGTTGTAGTTGTTGTTGTTGTTGTGTTCATTTGTTTTTTTATTCATTTGTTTTTTTTTATTTATGGCCGTCATTTGCAGTCTGTCAGCATTTTTTGCCTTTCGATCCTTTTGCCTTTTGCCTCTAATCGTTAATTATATTCATTCACTTATCCATCCATCCATCCATCCATCCATCCATCCATCCATTCATTCATCCATTCATTCATTCATTCCCAATTCTTCAATAACGGATCATATGCTCGCCTTGAAGATGGGATTGAATATTTTTAAAAAAATCGATGAGTTTTTGTTTGCTCACCTCAAATTTCAAATGAACATGAGGTACAAGCAACTTCATGAAACTTATTTGAGGGGCAGAGTGATAAGTTTCAAAGTTGCTGATGTTCGTTTGTTCGCCATTTGTTGTTTTTGTTTGTTCGTCATCTGTTTTTGTTTGTTCGTCATCTGTTTTTGTTTCTTGTTCGTCATCTGTTTTTGTTTCTTGTTCGTCATGTTTGTTGTGTCTTCGTTTGTCATTTGTTGGTGTGACTTTTTTCATTTGTTGTCGTGTCTTTGCTTTGTATGTGTGTTTGGACAGATGGATAGATGGATGGATGGATGGACGAATGGATAGATGGATGGATGGATGGTTAGATGAACAGATAGATGGATAGAGGAATGCATATTAAAATTTCTCTGTTATGTGTTTTTCAGAAGTATCACCACACATGTTTGTAAATCCGCCTTACATTTCATGTGATAAAAGCTGAGGTGATCTGTTTGCATTTGAACAACAACAGTGCCAGCCAATTAAACCATTACACCAGCCATTCATGTATATGTACATATTTATCTCATGCCCTCATTCCTTTGCTCGTCTATGTTTGTTTCTATCCTTTTTGTTGCAATAACATTAATAATATGGTTATAATAATAATAATAATAATATTATTATTATTATTTTTATTATTATTATTAATTTTATTATTATTATTATTAACATGATCGTTATTATTATGGTTCCTCACAGTGGAAACCTAGCTTGATTGAAAATTAATTGAAAAGTGAAGTTTTTAGAATAAGTAGCGGTGAAACCTGAGACAGTCCGAGATTGAGATGGATCATCCAGGCTGCCGAGTGCTGACGTGACGAATGTTTTCAAAATTTATTTTATCAAAATTTTTAATATTTATTTTTAAATTGTTGTCATTATTTAAATTGTTATTTTTCAGAAATTAATTTTCTTTGTTCAGGAAATAATTTTTCAAAATTTAGAAAATAAATTTCGAGAACTGATTACATCGGCAGCAATCTATCACATCGATCAAAGTTCATCAGCTAACAACTCAAAGACAACTTCTTAATATTACAATTTAGCTATTTCAAACATGCAATAAATAAAAATGAAACATGCCCAACAATAATATGTACGTAAAACCGCAAATAATTTTGAAAATGAGGTTAGCAAGACAATCAGGTCACATTCTACAAGGGTCATTCTTTCTTACGCACTTACTTCAGAGGCTTCAACAACAAGCAGACACGGTGTAAATGAATACGTGTGAAAACCATGCCTCACACACATTACAAATGATAGGTGGGGATTTCTCTGCATTTGAACTCGGTTCCTGCAGCTGCAAAACCAGGCGCCTTTAACCACTGAGCCATCACGTCGTCATCAGTTTGTAATTATTTTAAAATATTTTTTCAGTCGTTGAGTGTTCATACGTTACATACAACGGTTCTCATAAATTGTGAATAAGTATAAATTATTATCAAATTATGAATATATATATATGTATATATATATATATACATATATATTATTGTCAGTGTTGTTGTTTTCATCACTAACTGATGTTTCATTGTCACTATCCACGCCATCTTCGTCATCATTATAAACAACAACAGCATTGACCGACGAAAAATTTAAAATCGAACACAACAACATTTCATGTACCATCATGAACTTTTATGAATCTTATATCAATATTATGGCGTCGCAAACAACAACACATCGCAACAACACAATAACAACAATAACAACAACATTACATCTCGCAACAACAACAACAACAACACAAGTTGCCATAAAAGAGGAACATTACCTTCCGACAACCATTCATCTCATTCACCTCCCTCATGATTTATGTTTTCCATTTGAAACTTTGGAAAATTGTATTAAAGCATCAGGTATTTTTTTTATTTAAATTAAAAAA